CTAGGACTAAAAGCTGATGCTTCTGAAGACAAGAGAGCAAGAAGAGGGCTAACGAAGTAGGTTGACAAACGCAACTTGAAGCAGGTAAGGTATGAGATTAATCTGCTGAAGAAAGAAATGTAAACAAAAGAAACAGAACGTCTTGCCTTATATGCAAAGCTTGAAACCTTCAGAAATCAGTGGATGTGGTCAGGAAAATTTTAATATCTTTACAGAGAAAACAAAAATCAGACTAACAAACGAAACAACCAGAGAACTGTCTTACTTCAGACCTGAGCCTGTGGAAGCACACATGTTTCGAGAGATGCAGATGAGTTTTGGAAGGCCACAAAAGGCACTTAGGGGGGAAAATGGATCTACAACCAGCACTTCCATGATTCAACATCATTTCTTGGGCCGGCAATGCTCTTCCCTCCCTTATCGCCCACCAAAATCCTACTCATCATTTTTGGTTTGCCTCAAAAGCCATCTTTTCCCAGAAACCTTTCTGGGTCATTGTCATGTGTCTGAATCGCATCTTCCTTAGATGTGATGGCAACTGCATTTCTACTTAACACATTATCTTTAATTATTAACTCTCACCTCTCCAACCGCAAGAGAACTGTGAATTCCTTGAGGGCAGAAACAGGATTTTATTTGTTTTGGGGTCTCCCACAGCGCCCAGGGCAGAGCAGCGCACACAAAGGAACACAACTCACTGTTGCTGAAGTTCAGAAATTGATCATCTTGTGAGAAGCCATTTGACACACACATATAAGTGCCAACCTTGAGGTGTTTCCAGAGCATAAGTTACACACAAGAAGAAGGTTACAATTGTTTATGACTAATCTAGGCCTCAAACTCACCAACACAGTAAGAAAGCCTTGGGAAGGTAGGCAAAGAGTGAGAAAAGATTGGGACAGAGGGTTGTTTAAATACGGGGTGCCGTGAAGCAATCTTAATATCTCTTTATTTCTTTTAGGCATTTCTATTCCTATTTTCATAGTATCAAATAGTAGTTAGTTATATAGCTCTTAGTGTTAATAAATTTTTCTAGGATGTGGTTTGACCTCTTTAGGCAAACACTAAAAGTGAGTAATATAAAGTTAATTTAAGGAATCAGATATGACATTAGGTTGAAATGTCTTAAAACTATACAGAGTGATACACAGAATACTTACATTCATAATATAGAGCATGATTATTTTTAGACTCTATGATATTAGATTTAGGTGTGCTTGTTCTATTTTGTAAATCAAAAAATTGGCCTATATCTTTCATCTGTGTGTTTCGGTTTTCTGGTGACAGGTATCTCATAATAACTGGAAATAGAAATTCCATCTTTAGTGATAATACAGTGCAGCGTTTTGAGAAGAGAAGGTCTTAAGGTGCTGTTAATTAGCAGAAATCTGAAGCACACAGTCTCAAAGCAATTAAGGCTGCTAATTGAATATTTGGATGTATGGTGAAATGGCTCGTATGTTGCTGGGTAGGGCACCCCAGGCTTGCAGAGAGGAGTTACATTACACACACGATGTTAAAAAATTCACAAAGAATATGTATGGATAAACATATGTGCGTCTAGCAGTTAACTGCATTTATGAACGGTGATGCATTGTGGGCTATAGGCTAAACTGCCTATCAGCTGCAAAATTCAGTATCAACAATTCACTATCTCAGCTTGACTGCTGTAAATATGGCGCACTACTTACTCCTGAAAAACTGAGCTTTTTCCATGTGATTTTGCTGTCCTCTGGCTTGGTAAACATCTCTGTAAGTTATGCGATCCTTTAAATGAAATTGGTTGTTACATGGTGGTAATTTAGCACTTCTGCAGGATTGGGGGCAGAAGGGCATGGACCTTGCTGAAGAGCTCAGGCTTGCGAAGTGATTTTGTTACTGAGATTCTTCCCGAGTTCCCATTAGCTACAGCATTGGATGAATGTGTGAACATACTTCTAAGAAGAAACTGGATTGAAAATTTCAAGAATGTGAGAGTTTTCAAGAATGGAAAAAGAAATAAAGTGTTCCTTTCAGCAGAACTTCAGTGGAAAGTGGTTAATATTTTGGGTTGTGCTTATTACTTTTAAAAGCTAGTTGACTTCTGCTTCTGCAAATCCCAGGCTTACCGAGGTACAGGGGAGACAGGGTCTCCACTAAAGATGCAGGGGAGGGAGGGTTTCCACTAAAGAACACCAAAAGGCAGTGAGTGAAGAGCGAATTTGGTCTCTCTCAAACGGTGGCTCAGTCCTCTGATTGGTGGCTTTCTGGTCTCTGTGTTAAGGGGAACGAGAAATTACAAGAATGCTTGAGATCCTCAAAGCTAAAGTTGACCAATAGTTTTCACTTATTTTGCTAAACATTCCAGAAAGTGGCAGAATTGCAGAAATGATTGAGTACTTCCCCACCTGCCTAGTCCCAGTCCATTTTTGGGAGAAGTTTCAAATAGCTTGTGAAATGGCTTTTTATAAAAGTGCAGGGCTGAGTGGGCAGTGAGGGCAAGGAACACAGAATCTAAGAATCTCCCAGACACAGCATCTCCATCCTTATGATGAGGACTTAAGCATTCAGAGGGTGGTACAGTTTAGGAACCTATTACTCAAACCGCTAACGTTTTGTTGTATGCACAGACCACATAAAAACAAGTATTACTTAAAGTCCAAATCTGAGCTTATTACGTACATATACCTTCTAAAACTGCGGAGTTAGCCTGCTCCGGGGTTATTGGCTAGAGCTTTATTTAAAAAGGCCTTCGAACAGGGGGTTGAAGCCATTCACACGGGACTGAGGAGCATATTGAAGAGGTAACTGTTTGGGTCAGGAAAGTTCCTGTTTGTTATGCAATGTGTGCATTTCATTATTTACACGATTTCACCAGGCGATTGTGTACACAGCAAGCTGCGCCTGCGGGAGCACTTCAGACTTGAAACTAAAACCAAACACCCTTTCTTTATTGTCTTTCACTCCTGTTGCCTTTGAAAAAAATTTTTTAACGGAAAAATGTCCCTAAATTACTTGTCTAGATTAAAATAAAAAAATTTAAAAATATTTTTAGTAACCATAATTGTAAATGTTTCCATACTGTTCTCCACTGTGCTCTAAGGCCGAATCAAAAAGTTAACGTTCAGTAATAAATATTCTGAGCGGGAAACTTTTTTGTTTTGTTACGGGGTCTCCCTGCCCTCTCTGTTCGCTTATCCGCTGCAATTCATCTTTCTCCTCCCCGACCCCTTTCTTTCTTTGTAGTATTTTCCGGAGGAAGGATGCGATAACTAAGGGTAAGAAGCCGCTGACCGAGGCCCTGCGTCCAGGGGTCCTAAGGGCGGACCCCGGGGCTCTGGAAGGAAGGCGC